ATGAGGGGGTAAACGAGAAGAGGAGGAGCAGGAGGAGAAATGCTAGCTAGGAATTAGACGGTTCATCGTAACAGAGCAATCAAAGAAGCCCCTGGAAGAAAGGTACGTTGAGGCAACCAGTTCAGATTCCAACAGTCTCAACTGTGAACACCAGGCTCCAGGAGCGAAGTGTTCTCGTTTCTTAGAAACTCCAGGAGGTAACGCATTAATATCCAATGTGGTTTTACAGTTAAAAAAGCCATAGCAATGTGAACACTACTGATGCTTAGCTGGGAGAATCAACCCGGAGACAAAGTCAGAAGGAGTGCATGGTGGGTAGAGGAAAGGGTGTAAATGTTCTCAATCTGGTCAGCGTGCAAGTGCATGGACATGAGCAGGGAGGTGGAGTAGTGATGAACAGAAAGCGGGCATTAGCACTGATGTCCCAATCCTAGCAAGTGGAGAGACAAAGGGTACCAGCTATGTTGGTGATCTATGCAGAACTCTATACACAGGATTAAAATTTTCAGAGACAACGAGGAAGTTAAATAGTAATCGGACTGTATCGGGAGGAGAGGGGAGAAGAGGTATAGGTGTGAATGAGTGAAATCTTCATCTATGGAAAAGGAAAGTCACCAGTTATTATCAAAAGTTGGTAGGTGAAGAATTTATATCAACATACGATTTACAAACGTGACACAGGACAGACAAACAGTTATGAGTGTTTACCTCTGGGCACAAGATGGGTGCTTTTCCGTAGTCATCCTTCTGGATCATCTGAACCATGGGTATGGATTTTTTTAAATGTACTTTTGAATGTCCCAAACACTAACTCGTCTTCTCTCTCTGCCCTGTTCCTTTCACAGGGACATTCATAGCTTCATAGCAGCTTTGTGCTCTTTCTCAGCGACTGATCCCTCTGCCAAACTGCCTGCTCAAAGTGATTTTTAAGTTGAGAATGACATGGTCACAGGCCTTATCTCCCTTGACCTTGTGATGTGAACCACTTCTCCTTGCCCTCCCTTGGGCTGGCCTTTAGGACCTCCCTGGTTTCCTTCTACTATCGATGATTTGCCAAGTCTCCTTCCTAGATGCTTCCTACCCTGCCCACCATATTCATGTTGGTAACACCGGGTTTAACCACTGGCCCTGTTTTTTGCCTTTAAAAAAAAAAAAATTTAAATGTTTATGTATTGAGAGAGAGAGACAGAGCATGAGTGGGGGAGGGGCAGAGAGAGACGGAGACACAGAATCGGAAACAGGCTCCAGGCTCTGAGCCGTCAGCCCAGAGCCCGATGCGGGGCTCAAACCCAAGGACCACGAGAACACGACCTGAGCCAAGGTCAGACGGTCAACTGACTGAGGCACCCAAGTGCCCCTCTTTCCCCCCCGCTTTTGGTTTTCCCCTTGGATAAATCCACGCACTGCCCTCAACTGTCATTCGGGCACTGAAGAATCCTATCTCCCTTCCTCTCTCTTCTTGAACTTCCTCTTAAACGTCAGGACAGTTTTCAACTTCCTATTGAAACTGCTACATCTAAACACCCAATCAATACCTCAAACTCAACACATTCAAAAGTGAAAGATATCAAAACTTATGGGGTGGAGCTAACCCAGGGATTAGAGGGAAGTTTATAGCTATAAATACCTATATTAAAAAATAATAAAGACGTCGAATCAATAACCTAATTTTCCACCTAAAGACACTGGAAAAAGAAACTAAATCCAAAGCAAACAGAAGGAAGGAAATAATTACAACTGGAATAGAATTAAATGTTTTTTATTTATTTTTGAAGGAGAGACAGACAGAGCATGAGCAGGGGAGGAGCAGAGAGAGAGGGAGACATAGAATTTGAAGCAGGCTCCAGGCTCTAAGCTGTCAACACAGAGCCCGATGCGGGGCTCGAACTCACGAGCTGTGAGATCATGACCTGAGCTGAAGTCAGGCACTCAACTGCCTGAGCCACCCAGGCACCCCAACAACTGGAGTAGAATTAAATGAAATGGAGAATAGAAAAACAATGAAGTAAAACCACTGAAAAGTTAGTTATTTGAAAAGATGAGCAAGGGGAGCCTGGGTGGCTCGGTTGGGCGTCCGACTTCGGCTCAGAACACGGTCTCATGGTCCAGGAGTTCGAGCCCCACAATGGGCTCTGTGCTGACAGCTCAGAGCCTGGAGCCTGCTTCCGATTCTGTGTCTCCCTCCCTCTCTCTGACCGTCCCCCGTTCATGCTCTGTCTCTCTCTCTCAAAAATAAACATTAGGGGCACCTGGGTGGCGCAGTCGGTTAAGCGTCCGACTTCAGCCAGGTCACGATCTCCCGGTCCGTGAGTTCGAGCCCCGCGTTGGGCTCTGGGCTGATGGCTCAGAGCCTGGAGCCTGTTTCTGATTCTGTGTCTCCCTCTCTCTCTGCTCCTCCCCCGTTCGTGCTCTGTCTCTCTCTGTCCCAAAAATAAATAAACGTTGAAAAAAAAATTAAAAAAAAAATTAAAAAATAATAAATAAAATAAAAACATTTACCAGAATGACCAGAATAAAGAGATGAAGAGAATTCAAATCACTCCATCAGAATTAAAGAGGGGCCAACACTACCGAAATTAGAGAATTAAAAATGGTTATAAAGGAATATTATGAACAACTATAAGCCAATCAATTAAGTAACTTACATGAAATGGACAAATTCCTAGAGAAACACTAACTACTGAAACTGACTCAAAAATATATAAAAGCTTAACAGAAGTATAAGAAGAAATTCAATTATTAATTAAAAACTTCTCACAAAGAAAATTCCAGGTCCAGATGGCTTCATTAGAGAATTCTACACTGAACATATAAAGAATTATTACCAATCCTTCACAGTGTTTTCTAAAAACGAGAATAGAAAACAACACTGTCAACTCATGCTATGAAACCACTATTACTCTGACATCAAAGCTGGACAAAAATACCACAAGAAAACTATAGATCAAGACCCTTTATGAATACGGACACAAAAGCCCTCAACAAAATACTAACAAACTGAATCCAACAATATATAGAAATGATTACAGCCTACAACCAAGTGGGACCTATCCCAGGAACGTACGATTGATTTAACAACTGAAAATCAATGTAATACATCATATTATTAGTACAAATGACAAAAACCACATGATGATCTCAATGGATGCAGAAAAAGCAGCTGGCAAAATCCAACAGAGCTTTGTGATAACACCAGTCAATAAAATAAAAATAGACGGGAACTTCCTCATTGTGATAAAGGACACTTGTGGAAAACCCATAGCTAATATTATACTTAATGGTGGCAGACTAGAAGCTTTCCACCTAAGACCAGGAACAAGACAAGGATTCCCACTCACCTCTTCTATTCGGCATTGTACTTGAGGTTCTACCCAGGGTACATAGGCAACAAAAAGAAATAAAAGGCATCTATATTACAAAGGAAAAAGGAAAACCGTAACTATAGACAACATGATCTTGTATACAGAAAATCGTAAGGAATCCAAGAAAAAAACGATTACAGGTCATAAAGGAGTTCAGCAGTGTTGCAAGATAAGACATCAACGTTGGAAATCCATCGCATTTCTAGACACTAGCAATGTGCCATATGAAAACCCAAGTAAGGAAACAACTCCATCTATAATTGCATCAAGAATAAGAAAAGTCTTTTTTATTTTTATTTTTTTATTTATTTATTTTTTTCAACGTTTTTATTTATTTATGGGACAGACAGAGACAGAGCATGAACGGGGGAGGGGCAGAGAGAGAGGGAGACACAGAATCGGAAACAGGCTCCAGGCTCCGAGCCGTGAGCCCAGAGCCTGACGCGGGGCTCGAACTCCCGGACCGCGAGATCGTGACCTGGCTGAAGTCGGACGCTTAACCGACTGCGCCACCCAGGCGCCCCAGAAAAGTCTTTTTTAAATTGTTTCTTTATTTCTGAGATAAAGAGTATAAGCAGGGGAGGAGCAGAGAGAGAGAAAGCGACAGAAAGACAGAGTCTGAAGCAGGCTCCAGGCTCTGAGCGGTCAAGACAGAGACCAACACAGGGCTCAAACCCACAAACCGTGAGATCATGACCTGAGCTGAAGTCGGCCACTCAACCAACTAAACCATCCAGGCACCTAGAAAAAGAAGACAAGTCTTAGGAATAAAATTAAACAAGTCTAAGACCTGTACATTGAAATCTTAAGAACATGGTTGAACGAAGTCATAAATCTAAGTAAGTGGACAGACATCCCACTGTGTATGGATGTGAAGACTTAATATTGGTAACATGGCAATACTCCTCAAGATGATCTACACGTTCCATGCCATACTATCAGAATCACAGCTGATTTCTTTGCAGAAATTGACAACCTGATCCTAAAATCCTTATGGAAATAAATGCAGCTTACCAGAAGCCAACACAATCTTGAAAAGAACAGCAACGTTGGAGGATTAATACTTCCAATTTTTGCAGCTTACCACAGAGCTGTAGTATCGTAATGTCATTAACATAGACATGTAGATAGATCAGTGGATTAAAATTGAGAGTCAAGAAATAAACTCTCATGTTTACGGTCAAATGATTTTCAACAACAGTACCAAGACAATTCAATGGAGGGTCTTTTCAATAAATGGTGTTAAGAAGAAAATTCAACCCGTTCCTTATGACATACACAAAAACTAACTCAGAATGGATCTTAGACCTAAATGTAAGAAACTCCTTGAACTCTTAAAAGAAAACATAGGAGTAAATCTTCCACCTTTGGATTAGGCCACTGTTTCTTTTTTTTATATATTAAATATAATTTATTGATAAATTGGTTTCCATATAATACCCAGAGTTCATCCCAACAGGTGCCCTCCTCAATGCCCATCAACCACTTTCCCCTCTCTTCCACCCCCCCCCCCACCAAGCCTCAGTTTGTTCTCAGTATTTAAGAGTCTCTTATGGTTTGCTTCCTTCCCTCTCTAATGTTTTTTTCCCCCTCCCCTCCCCCATGGTCTTCTGTTAAGTTTCTCAGGATCCACATGAGTGAAAACATATGTATCTGTCTTTCTCTGTATGACTTAGTTCACTTAGCATAATATCCTCCAGTTCCATCCATGTTGCTACAAATGGCCAGATTTCATTCTTTCTCATTGCCAAGTAGTATTCCGTTGTGTATATAAACCACATCTTCTTTATCCATTCGTCAGTTGATGGACATTTAGGCTCTTTCCATAATTTGGCTATTGTTGAAAGCTCTGCTATAAACATTGGGGTACAAGTGCCCCTATGCATCAGCACTCCTGTATCCCTTGGGTAACTTCCTAGCAGTGCTATTGCTGGGTCATAGGGTAGATCTACTTTTCATTTTTTGAGGAACCTCCACACTGTTTTCCAGAACGTAGGCCACTATTTCTAGATACAACACCAAAAGCATTAGCATCAAAAGAAAAATAGATCAATTGGATGCCTCAAAAATCATTAACTTCATTTTCTTGATGGTATTGCTTATAACACAAAGGAGACTCTAGACAAAGATGGCAAGGCTCATGAATTTCTCTACTCCCACAGATGCACTGAATATACAGCTCACACAGACCAATTCCCTCAAAGAGAAATCCACAGAGCGATTCCTACACATCACACAACTGAGCAAATGCCCACATGCAAACAGGTAAGAAGGCTGAGACTTGCTGTCACCCTAATTCCTTCCCAGTGCCATGCAACTGGGAGGAAATCCCCAACTTCCAGCTTCTCCCTGAGGAGTGAGGGGTTTGGACAACGCACCTGATGCTTCAACTTTTAAGGATGCTACTTTAAGGATGAGTCCCCAAATCACCTACCTCTGAATGCAAATGGGGCTTGTAATTACAAGTCCCACAGGACTATCTATTTTTTAAAAAGCTGTTATTTAATAGGTCAGCTAGCAGAAGTGCCCACCTCCCAGGATTTCCCTGCAAGGGGCTTGAAAGCATACTCTCCAAGCTGCTGAGGGTTCAGCTTCTCAACAGCCTGCATCTAGATGCTAAAAGATATCCTCCCCTGTGGGACACCGATGGGTCTTGGCACACCCTCAACTACCGGGAGGCATGGAGAACAAAGATTTCAGAGGCAACCAGGAGCTCTGGCCAGGCCGACTGATGAGGTCCGTTTGATGACAACACCAGCCTTGTCAAGACTGGCAGGGGATTCAACAGAAACCAACACAGAGAAACAAGAGCCAAGAGGAAACAGGAATATGTTCCAAAAATCAATCTCCAGAAACCAATCTTTATGAAATGGAAGTAAGTGATTTACCTGACCAAGAGTTCAAAGTAACAGTCATGCCCACTCAAGCCAGGAGAGCTGTGAACAAAGTAAGAATTTCAACCCGAGACAAAGAACATTAAGAAGTACCAAAAGGCTGTTACAACTATTGGTGAATTCAGCTAAGTGGCAAGATACAAAATCAATTGCATTTCGGTACACTAACAATGAGCTTTGCAAAGAGAAATTGAGCCAACAATTCCATTCACAATAGCATCAAAAAGAATAAGATACTTTAGAATATATCTAAGATGGCAAACGATTTGTATACTAAAAGCTGTATAAGACTAACCAAAGAAACTGAAGACACAAATGGAAAGATACATGCTCATTCATTGGAATAGTTAGTATTATTAAATTTGTCCATACTATCTGAAGTGACCTACAGTTGAGTGCAATCCGTATCAAAATTCCAATGGTGGGGTGCCTAGATGGCTCAGTCAGTAGAGTGTACACTTCTTGATCTTGGGGTTGTAAGGTCGAGCCTCAGGTGGAGAGATGACTTAAATATACAATCTTTTTAAAAAATTCCAATGGCATTTTCCATAAAAACAGAGAAGAATTCTCAATTTTGTATGCAATCACCAAAGACCCAGAAAAGCCAAAGCAATCTTGAGAAAGAACAGAGAAGCATCACACATATCCTGATTTCAAACTTTATCACAAGGCTATAGTCATCAAAACAGTGTTGTACTGACATAAAAACAGACACATACATCCATTGAAAGGAATATAGAGCCCAGAAACAAAGCCGTGTATATGTGGTCAGTTAATTAACAACACAGGAGCCAGGAATAAACAATGGGAGAAAGTGTAGTCTCTTTAGTAAATGATGCTGGGAAAACTGGATATCCACATGCAAAAGAATAAAGCTGGACCACTACCCTGTATCACACACAAAAATTAACTCAAAATGGACTAAAGACTTGAAGTAAGGGGTGCCTGAGTGGCTCAGTCGATTGAGCATCCGACTTCAGCTCAGATCGTGATCTCACGGTTCGTGGGTTCGAGCCCCGCAACGGGCTCTGTGCTGACAGCTCAGAGCCTGGAGCCTGCTTCGGACTCTGTGTGGGTCTCTCTCTGCTTCTCCCCTGCTTGTGCTCTGTCTCTCTCTCTCTCTCTCTCTTTCAAACATCAAACAAACATTAACAAAATTCATTAAAGAAAACTTGAAATGAGACCTTTAACCATAAAACTCTGAGAAGAAGACATCAGCAGTCAACTCTGCGACATAGTTCCTGGAGATAATTTTCTGGATTTGACACTGAAGGCAAAGGTAACAACCATCACAATAAAACCAGTAAGCACTGCTACCTAAATCTTAAAATCTTCTGTAGAACAAAGGAAACAACCAACATAAATGAAAATACAGCCTAGGGAAGGGGAGAGATGATTTGCAAACTACATACCCAATAAGGGGTTAAGATTCAAAATACACAAGGGGCTCACGTGACTCAATAGCAAAAACCTAATAAAAAATAGGCAAAGGACCTGGACATTTTCCCAAAGAAGCGACGCAAATGGCCACCAAGCATACGAAAAGGTTGTCAGCATCACTAGCCATCCAGAAAATGCAAGTCAAAACCACAGTGACAAGTCCAGAATGCCCTGGAAGCTGTGGTTTTCACAAGCTCCCCGAATGCCCATTAAGGCCTAGGAGGCCTGGACCGAGTCCCATCCTCGACATTGACCTTCTGGGTAACCTTACATCACTGTGGCCCATCTGTGCAGTAAGCCTGTCGAATAAGGATCTTTCCCACTCCTGTGTTCTAGGCCTCAGGGGGATAAGGGAGCCCAGGGCGGGAGGTCCCCATTCCCAGATGGCTAGGTAAGGGGCCATGAGAAGCCATGATACGCCTCCAGGCCCCACGTCCTCCTCCACAGGTTCAAGGGTAGGAGACCACTGTAGGGACTGGACAGACCCTCAAGGAAATTGAGTGGAGAGAAGCCGGAAGGCTTCGCAGCCTATGACCTGAGAGGGAGCAACGTGGCCGGCTCACATCTGCCTCTTCCTGCGGCCTCACCCCCACCTGCTTCCACTGGGAACTGCCCTGAACGCTTTCCACGCAGGATACAAAGCTCACAGGACCGGGCCAAAGGAAGATGTTCTGAGGACCGTCCCCTCGGGGTTGCCAAGTTGCAGCCCCCAGCTAGCAATACTCAGTGGGGCCTCCGGATGGGGGGAGCGTGGAAAGGGCTACAGGGGGAGAGTCCGCCTGCCCGGTTCAGTTTCTACCAGGCTGCAAGGAGTCCCCAAAGGACTTTCTCTGGACCAAGCAGAGCTCACAGCTGGGCAGGGGTTATACCCGTCGAAGCTCCTGGATGACCGCGTCAAGAGTAAATTTGTTCTTGGGCACCTGGGTGGCTCAGTTGGTTAAGGGACCGACTCTCGATTTCAGCTCAAGTCATGATCTCATGGGTTCGTGAATTCCAGCCCCACATCAGGCTCCGTGCTGACAACAGAGAGCCTGCTGGGCATTCTCCCCTTCCCCCTTTCTCTCCCCGTCTCCACACTAAAAAAAATAAAAATAAAAAATAAAAAAAAAAGAGGGTCACCTGGGTGGCTCAGTCAGTTAAGTGGCTGACTTCAGGTCAGGTCAGGATCTCGCAGTTCACAGCCTGGCCATCTACACGGGTACCTGGCCGGCTCACGTTTGTGAGTTTGAGCCCTGCATCAGGCTCCCTGCAAAGAGTGTGGAGCCTGCTTTGGATTCTCTGCCTCTCTCTCAAAGGTAAACATTAAAAAAAACAAGAAAACTACCAAGGTCATTTAGCTTATTATACTAGCGGTCAGCACTTTGGCCTGGTCTCAACAGGGAGCATCTGACGCTGGCTTCACACGTTTCTGTAGTTGACGGCTAGGCTGACGGGGGGGGGGGGGGGGGGGGGGGGGAGTGGCCGTGGAGGCGGGGGGGGCTCGGCTAA